CGCATATGTATGTATGTAGTTCTCAGCGTGTGTTTGGTGTGTGTGTGTGTATGTGTGTGTATATTTGTTGTTGTGTGTGTATGTTTGTTGTTGCGTCGTTTGCTGTTGACCTAAATTCCTTTTAAGTAATCTTTAGTGATAAGCGGAAGTGCATGTACTAAAGACGAAAAATTAGAAATGTGTCTCTGCACGTCTCTGCCTATGTGTGTGTTTGTGTGTGTGTGTGTGGAAATAAGGAAAAACTATGCTGCCCGCTACGGCGTAATTAGAGCTTTTTTTCATGTTTCGTTACAACTTAATTAAGAATGTATTTGCGCAGCAAAGGCAAAAGCAAAAGCAGCCACAAATCTGCCTCTCAATGAATGCGACTGCTGTTGTACTATGAATGAATATGAGTATATTATGAGTGTGTATATGTGCTATATACTATATGCTATATACGGATGGTATACACACACACACACACAGATAGATACATACATACATAAATGGTATAGTAGAGTGGTCAGTAGTAGTGTCCCAATCTGAAATGAAATATGAAATGTGTATATGAATGGATCGAGTGAATGAATGAATGAATGCGTGTTGATACCGACTACGACGATTGGGGGCAAGGTGGCAGGCGGGTGTAAAACGGGGCAATAATTCTGCCTCTGTTCTGCCTCTGCCTCTATATATGTGTGCATGCCGGATCAGGCCCGGGCCATGCCAGGCCAAATATATATAAATATATATATATATCTGTATATATAAATATGTACATGCCACATACAAATCCAAATACGAATACAAATACACATAACCGGAAATGAGTTAGTTGAACTTCCGTCTTGGAGCGACTCTGTTGTTGCTGTTGCTGTGGCTGTTGCTGTTGCTGTGGCTGCCACTGGCCTGCAATATTTTTTAAATGCGCGACAATAATTTGCACAGTCACACAGACGACCGGGCACGGAAGACAGACGACGGACATCCGATGAGGCCTCAAAGCGAAAACTGTGCACTATGGGAGAAAAATGTGCACCTTGTGTCTGGCCTAAGGGCATTTCCATGAAATTGCCGAAAATATGCATTCCATTTCACATATAATAAAATAAAAAATTCAAAAAAAAATCTTAATAAACTGAGAAAAGTTGTCATAAGCTAGATCTGTCATGATAGGTTCCTTGACTATATTCCATCTTTAGAGATAAAGTGAAATAATATAAATACTTTACTCAATACGTAAATATTCCGTAAGTATCTTTGAGATTATCCTTGTAATCGTAAAAAGAGAACAGATTAGAAGCATATATCTATCATATGTATTCACAATAAGATCCTCATTAAAGTAATACTCATTACAAGCAAAACTTTACATAATCTTGATCTGTTACGATAGGTTGTTTGAATAGATTCTGTATATTTGATTCAGTCTTTAGAGGTATAGTGAAATATTATAAATAATATACTCAATATGAGACTTTGGGATTATTTTTGTAATAGCAAAAAAAAAACAGATTAGAAGGATATATCCATCATATAACTATCCATAGTTAGATCTCACAAAAAACGATCAGTTTGCTCCACAGTGTGCGAGTGGAAGCGACTGGAAAGCGTTGCTTGTCCATGCTTACAGTTATGAATACGCGTTTAAGTACAAGTATGGATATGTGCGAGTAATCACATACATACATACATACATACATACATACATTCATACGTATTCATATTACATACATACATAGATTGATATATGCTTTTATGAAGATGACCTTAAGACATCTACCTGAATTATTAACGGAGCAATTCACGTTCATCCGTACATCCATTTAATTGAATCTAATAAAGGTTGAACAATATAATTCCAACTCTGCTGTAAATAAGATGAAATAACTTTAAGCGAAGAATTGCAGATAGAAATACAATTCCTTTCAATTTGTATCTTACAGATACTTACGTATAATTGAAAGCATACTTTAAATAACTATTGATTTTTACAACAGGATTTATCGGGATATGAAAGACTTCCATAATAATTGTGATTTGTGTGTGTGTTTCCCTCATAATATTGAACATTCATTTGATTTGGGTTATCGCATAGTGGATCGATCAATAGAATCTCCCAGCCCCGACCGTTTTTGTTTTAATTTGGGGTGGCACTTGAGTTTGATTTGGATGTGAGCTGAACTGGAAATGCAGCTGATTGGCTGATTGGCTGATAGCTGACTGAATAGCGTGGATAGCTAGCTGGCTGTCTGGTGAAAGTGCAGCACTTTTCACACATGGCCACATGGGCCACCATTATGAATAGTATCAAATGTGCAACGGCAGAGTCAAAGCAGTCGGGCAACAAATCAAGCAATTTACATTTCGTGCACTTTTTGCCCAATGTGAAAATATGAAAAACGCTGGTAACCCGCATATTTACTAAATATATCTATATCTTGACTGACACCGGAATGGGAATTGAAAAACGGAGTTGTGCGTCGACAGTCGGGAGTCGGAATTGGATGGATGGACTCTTCTGGGGGCTGTCAGTCTTCAAATTGGGTGAACAAAAGTTTTCAATTTCTAAATTAAAGATATGGTTAAATGAAATTCATAACGCACCGAAAAAAATAAAAATAAAAATAAATAAATAACATGACGCACACAAAACATCAACATGCATACACATACATATAATTAGCCAATTACGAGTATCTAAACAGCGCCGAAATACTTACACATACACATCCAGATAGACACACATGTATATCTACAGATGCAGATACAAGAGCAAGCGTACACAAATTATACATGGACAGAAGGGGGCACTTACCATTGAATACAAATGTGAATACGAGTATGAGTATAGGTATGAGTATGAGTATGAGTCTGACTATGAGTCTGAGACCGAGTTTGAGTGCGAGTACAGTTATAGATACTTCGCCGAGATACTTACCGAGTGCGCATGTGCGCCAGTCGTCGCTAGGCGGCACTTCCAGTTTAAGTTGCACACACACAACAAGCACATACACACACACACACCACTCACACACACACACACACACACAAGCACACACATACTGCGAGCGAGAGCTCTCAAAAAGGAGCCGCCGTTTCTTACGCAATGGCGCATCAAATTTAAGAGCTAAGCTAGAGCTAGCTACACTCAGAGAAATAAAAGAGACTGCTGTTGCAGATCAGAAAATCATCTTTCCTTTCAAAATTCCCACTTACAACTTGAATCAATCTTGAATAATTAGAGTAAGCTGTTTACTTCCAATATTGAATACTCATTCCGTTATACTTTTCAAAAAATAAAGCTAAAACTGCATCAGTTACAAAACGAACTTCTTGAATTAAGTTTCCAGGCTCTGTACTCAAATTTGAAGTGCTTGTAATGAGTAGTTTTGACATGATTCAAGAGTTTTGCTTGATTAACGATCAATTTGTTTCTATTTATTCAAGGAAACTCAAGAAGGAAGTGAACTTAAACAAAAACGGAACTCATTTTTGTACCGGTTGTGGTTGAATTTTGGACAGCGTTTTATTTCGAGTGTAAACAGAGAGAGAGAGAGAGAGAGAGGGAGAGTGAGAGAGGGAGAGAGGCAAAGAGGGGATTCTTGGCTTTACAATGATCTCATTCCGATGTTCTAGAACAAAAGCTCAACGCATAACTTGGCCTGGCAACAAGAGTCAGACAATCGCTTCCCATATTCCCAATTGCTCACACGTGCGACGCTGCCATCCTTAAGACTGGGAATGTAACTGGAGCAGGCAGAGGAGGGACGGGGGCATAGCCAGGGCCAGAGCTAGAGGCAGAGGCAGCCACCCTGAACGCGATCCCTTGTTTCATCGTCCGACTCACCCCATTTTCACACACATTTTACGAGCTATTGATGGCTGTGAAAATGTGCTTATGAATATGAATAGATACCGCTGCTGCTGCTGCTGCCGCCGCTGCTCGGGGACGACTACCTGAGGCCCTTTTGCCAGTGTGCTATCTGCCCGCCCTATTTTCTTTCTTTTTTTTTTAATGGCAACTTAATAAGTTCAGTGAACACAGAGCACAGTTGCCTCAGCTGCGGGCAATTTTTTTTCTTTCGTTCGGTTCGACAAAAAGCGCAATTTAATTAGTTGTCTGGGGTTGCCAGGATACATAAATACGAGCCGTAGATACATCTGCAAACAAAACGTGGCCAATTGAAGGCCAACTGCCTCAGCAACAGCTACCACCAAGTACAATCGGAAATGGCTAAAACTATATATATATATATATGTGTGTGTGTGTGTGTGTGTTTGTGTGTTTTGTGTTTGCACACTTACACATACAAATGTAGAAGAAAGCGCAGCGACAGCGTCTCTGGTCTCTGCTGGTATTTGTATCTTTTCTCTGATGCCATGCAACTGTTGCTGTTGCTGTGTCTGTGGCTGTAGCTGTGAATGTATCTTTAGCTGTATGTGTGATTGCTGGTGCTTCTGCTGCCTCTGCTCTGCTGCTGGCGCTGGCCGCATTTGCGAAGCTTTATGGACCGCCACTGCCACCAGACGCATTCCGATGCGGATCCGGGATTGTGAAATGTTTTCATATCGAGACACATTTAACCAACGCGTCTGCACGCTGTCTGTATCTGCATCTGTATCTGTGTCTGTATCTGTGTTTGTATTTGTATTTGTATCGGTATCGGTGGGTTTGTGTTTGTGTTTGTGTTGGCCTGCGGTTGTTTCTCTCTGTCTCCGGGCAACTCTCCCCCCGATGCGTGTTGCATGTTAATTATTATCGCGTTGAATCGGGAAGTTTCCACACCCATCCCAAAAAATCTATTTTGGTTATTTTTAGCTCTTTTATTGCAGCCCATAACAATCAATTCAAACGACTCCAATTTTCAGCATTTTTTGAAACTATTATAAAAATAGCCACATTTATTATTATTTATTATATAACTGAAATCATATATACACTTTTAAATCGCTTAGATATATAGATATATATACGTGTAATTGTATTTAATCTTTGATTCCTTTTCGTATTTGCATAAATAATTTATGTGTCGTATTTGTAGCAGTTCTACAAGTAAACAAATAAATGTGCCTCATAAAAAATATGAACAGGTTTGGTACATTTTGAATCTTTGTCTTAGTTCTCGAATATATACCAATTTATAATATAAATGCAGTTATTTACTTAGCACTTAGTATGAATACAAAATAAGTATTATTTATTTAAATTTTAAACAGATTTAATTCTTTTTTAATTGTCAGCAGTTTGGACTCCTTCGGTTGTCGTTATTGTTCTGTTGTTATCGTCATATCAATGTTTGGCAGCTCGAACGACACGTCTTGATGATCCGATCCGATCCGATCCGATGCGATCCGATCAGCATTTGGGCATTTAGAAAGTAGCCCGGAAATTCACAGCCACACATGCCATATTTATGCTGATTAGCACCTATTGGGTTAGCTGTGTGCCCAAAGCATGTGTCGTGTTTATACGTATCGTGTGTGTGTGTTAGAAAATAATCAATTGGTAAATATGTTTATCACGACTTGGGCCACAACATGCATAGCTTTCCTTTCCATGCTCCACTTTGGTCAGAGTCGAAAAAATCCGACTCGAGTCAAGTCGAGCCTAGTCGAATGTGGTGGCATTTCATGAATGAAAAACACTGCTGCCGCAGGCCTTTGTATGTATGTGTGTGTGTGTGTGCATGTTAATCTGTGGGTAGACAGCAACACACGCATACATTCATATATTTGTTTGTCGTTTACTTATCTGGCTGCCCCCGCCTGTGGCTTCTCTTATCATCAGTTGCCTTTTGTAATGCGCAAACAAAGCATAAATCATAAATACCAACACATCAAGTTGTTTAGATTCTGTCGTTGCCGCTGGCATGCTTGGAATGCTGTTCACCAAAAGCGATCTGGCGCCCAACTCCAACTCACCTTGAGCTCAACTAACTGACAACAAGTCGCTGTCAAAAATGTGGAATAAAATAATAAAAAATAAAAATAAAAGAGAAGAAAAAATATAAACGACAATCGGCGCTTACGCTACTCAGCTGAATGTTGGGCGAACATTGGCGTTGGCGTCGGCCTCTGCGTCGGTGTCGGTGTCGGCATTTTCCGTTTGCTGCTTTGACCCACTGTTCCAAAAGCTCATAACGGCTCGTCTCCCTTCTCTCTCTCTCTCTCTTACTTCGTTGCTTTGGACACTGCAGATCCAGTCACATTGTGATGTACTTACCTATCTATATAAAATACACAGTTAAACGAATGTTTTGTACTCACCTTCAGCGCTCTGTTGCAGCAGCAGCAGCAACAACATTTTTACTTGGAGGCTGTGCTGTGGCGGCATTAGTTCAAAGCTTTGTAACACCACACGAATCTGTGTGAGTATGTGTGTGTGCAGGGCACACACAAAAAAAAACACCATTGGAATGTGGAATGTGGTATTCATTGACAAAATCAGCTTTCAAAATGATCTCACTTGTCTGAAAAACAGTCAAACCAAATCGAAAACCGGTTTCGTAGTCAAATCATAGGTAGTGATGGAGACAGAGAGACGCACACACTTAGAGAGAGAGAGAGCACTTTTAATATTCCATTTTAGTTCGTTTTCCTTGAGTGTACACACATACATACATATGTTTGTATGTACAATACACATTTTTCGAATATTTCACCGTTTTCACCGCACGTGCCTGGAACTGAGGCCCTGAGCCAAATTTAATAGTTAATTATGATTACAATGTGTGTCAAGTCGAAATTATCTACTGCCATTTAACACATTGCACAAAAAAAAAAAACAAAGAAAAAAACAATACCTTTCAAAGAGCGTAGCCTCAAAATTTTCACACGCGCAAAGCAAACGCAAACAAAAAAAATGAAGAAAAAAAAGAAAGAAACACGAGCATCAAAAAAAAGCAAGCGACTAAATTCGGGCAAGATCTTACGGTTTTTGGCTTTTTAATATAAATAGCACACACAATTAGTGGCGCTGAGAGTGAGGCGCTGAAAAAAAACACACGCACACGAATATATTCAAGTGTGTAGAAAAGAAAAAAATAAACTGTAAATAGTTCAAACTTACCACAGCTGCTGCAATCGATGTCTTCTTCCTTTCCCAAGCCGATTACTATCGAAAATCGAAATTGAGGAGGGAGTTCGCTAAATATAGACGGGGAGACGGGGAACAAATCAAAGGTGCGCATAACTTACTTCCAAGCTTTAAATATAGACAAAACAGAGAGGGGCTGCGCATGCGCGCTGCTGTGTGTGTGAGGGAGTCGGCGCAATAGCGTGAGACAAGCGCCGACAACGCATTGGAATGCTGCTGGAAGCAACAACAACAACAATCTTCATTTAACAGTCATTAATTTAGACGTCGTTCCAGCTGTTTGGCTAAGGGAGCGCCTGCTGCTGATGCTGCTCCCGCGAGATGATCACACGCTGCTCGTCGTCGGCACTGGGAAGCTGTGGGAAAAGTATGTGCCGCAGCAGCAAACAGCGACGTCAGCGGCGGCAGCATGAAATTGGGTCAACATTTTTTCATTCACTCTTTTTTTGTTGTTATATTTCGACATATTTTGTGTATGTTTAGTTTTTAGTGTTTTTTTTTTTATATTTTGTTTCTCTTTTTTGTGTGTGCCTGCCATTTTTTATTAACACAAAACTTTCTATTGAGCGAATAGCAGCAACACATACAACAAACACACGAAAATCTTTTTTTTTTTCTTTTTGTAACAGAGAGCGCCACACACGAACTTCAGCAGACCGTAGCATTTACCGTTAAGTTTTTATATAGCACATTTTTATGGCCTCGTCGTGGCTTAGTCAGGGATTGCCGCCCCGATAACATAAATATACTTTTTAATTGACATTTATTGTTCCGTCTGCATTAAATAAAAATAAAAAGTAAAAAAAAATCGGCAAACAGCAGACTTTATCTCCCACCGACTTCCAGCTGAATCCACATGACTGCACGCAGCTCTTCGATATCGATAGAACTGCGATGCCGATAGGCGAGACGATAACGGCGGCGACATTCCTCAACTCGTTGTTACAGACGGCGACCACCGCCAACGTTTTCGCTGCTGGCGTTCTTTGGTCTTTTTTCGCTGACATTATTGCTTTTAAAACAACAAGAACTACAAACGGGATCAGTTTGCCGCTGTCCGTTAGTCACTGCCACTGCATGTGTGTGCAAACAGACTGATAAAGAGAGGGAGCGAGAGAGTACATACAATTGCGCTGCCTTTTTACCCTTTACCAGCTGCCCACTTGGACTTTGGCGTCTCTGTTCCTGCTGTCTGCTTTTGACGACGCGTCGCATCGCGTCGTGACGCCGTTGCTTTTGCTTCGCCTGCCTTTTTACTTTAGCTTTCGGTCTCTTCGTCTTGCTGTTCTTCTTGAGAAACGGTTTTTGGCGGCGGTCTTGGTTCAGGTTCTGCTTGCCTACCCTGTGTTGGTCTTGTTCTTGTTCCTGTTGCTTCTGCTCTCTCCCTCTCTCTCGATGTTTGCTGCCAGCCCGCATTCTATGCTGGTGGTTGACTTTTCTTCATTTTGCCTTTTTATGCTGAGTGATGCAACTTTTGTTTGTGGCGTTTGCGTCTCGCTATGAGTCCAGCACCGATTGCAATTATGATGGGCACACGAGGTAACCCACCCTCCTCCTCCCCTTCTCATCTTCCTTCAACTGCCTTCATCCGTTCCCTTTATTATCGCCTGTAACTGCATCGCAATTACCATTAAAATTGCTTTAACCACACAACACACAACAGCGCCGCAAAAATAAAAACTTCAAACGCTAATGTGGCGAAACTGGTATACAGTGAAAATCGGTTAATGGCAACATTTCAATTTAGTAATCAACAGCTCTTTTTCTATTTTCTATACATTTTTTTAAGCATAACTATAATATTTACTGGTTGCTTTTTGCTCAGATTTAAAACTTTCAGTATTATTTAAGGTCAGATTAGATGCCCAAGTTTTAAACCGAATAAAGAAAAACATTTTTTGATTTTGATATTAAACTTTTTTTTTTTTAAACCTGAAATTTATCTGTTCTAACTTTTATAAACATAAAAATATTATTTAATCGTGCAAATTAATAAAAATCTAGAACTGTTTCTTAAAGTCTGAGTTCTCTGGAATTTAAGCAGTCAATGCATTTCCAGTTGCTTCGAGACAGTATTAACTGTAAGCTGAAGTTGCAGTTACGAACATAAAAAGCTACAAAAAGAAAATTAGGCTCAGACCCACGCTCTGTCGCATGACTCATGCTTGAAAAATTTCAATTTGAATTTCTAAATAGACGCTACACACACACACACATACGTACACACATATGCACAAAGAGACGACGACGGCGACGCGCAGCATCCAATTTCAGCCAATAAATATTTTACTTCGTCTCCAAAGATGAAGCCGAGCTTTTTGTCTCGAGACTTGTAACTGGCTGTCGTTTGCCCTGTGTGTGCGATTGTGTCTATGTGTGTGTGTGTATATATGTGTGTGAGCGCATTGACTGCTGGCAAATTCCACAAGGCTTACGCTTACCCATGTGCTGGCTTTGACTTAGAGGTTAGAATCGGAGAGCTCCTTAGATGTCAATGGATGTCGCATGCAGCAAAAGTCGCCACAACAACAACGACGACGCGACACAAAGTCTTGGCCAACAGAAACCAGTTTCTGGACACATTTTTCTTGCTGTTGTTGTTGTTGTTGCTGGTTGGCATTACTCACTTTGTGTGAAGCGCAAGTTCTATTTGGCTTAGTTCTTCTCATAGTTGAACGGAACCGCATTCCATGCTACACCAATACACCAATACACAGGCGCACAGAGAGAGCTTCAAGCCTCACTCATACAAACGCAAACACACACACACAAACAGTTACATACATACACTGGAAGAGTTCTTTAACTTTAATTTGTCCACGCTATGCTTATATGCTGTGGGCCACCTCAGCTCCCCGCTGTTGTGTCTCCCCCCTCCACTCCAGCAAACGTTATTTGAACTGTCTGGAATGCGGTCGCACAAGTTTCATATATACACACACATACACATTCTTACACACATACATACACACACACACATACATACATACGGACATACATACATACATACGAATGTATATGTAAGTATGATTGTCGTCTGCTCCGCTTTTGGGTCAGCTCCTTGTGCGACAAGCCTTTTCATTTAACATAACTTTTTTTTTTGCTTTTTCCTTTTATACAAATTGCAAATGTTTCAGTGCCATTTTTGCATTTCAATATTTACTTTTCACACTGTTTTTGTTGTTGATACATCCGCTCTCAAAAAATCAGCAATGTCTGCAAAGCAAAAGCAAATCAACGCAAAGAAACGTCCGCGAGCAACTCGGCAACGACCATGCGGCTGTAGCTACACAAATTTACTGAATGAAAACATGTCTTTTCTTTTGCGTCGATCTTCGTTTTTCAATGTTCGTCGCGCCTGCGCTTGCATAGACACAGACGGAGATGTTGTTCAGGCAGCGAAGCAGACAAAGGCAGAGGCAGAGGCAGAGGCAGAGGCAGAGGCAGAGGCAGAGGCAGAGGCATGTAGTCAACGTCAGCAGAGTGCTGACGCCAGCTGAGGCAGCGACAGAAGCAGCATTTTGTTATTGTCAGTTTCGAAAGTAGTTGGCAGTGTATGTGTTATGTTGTATCTGTCGCTGTATACATGCATCTGTGTGTGTGTGTGTATGCACGTATCTGTGTGTGTGCTAGAAAGTTTCGATACTGAACTGAACTACTCCATGATGATGTTGGGGTCACATGCATATGAAACTTACAGAACGGCATTCCACAACCGAACTGACACCGCTCCCCCCCGCCCATCCCCTTCCCCAACATTGTGGTTCGCTCGCTTGCCAGTAAAAGTAAAGTTAATGTCAAAGTATCTTTGTCTGTGTCTGTTACTGTTGCTCGCTGCTGCTGCGCTGCGCTGCTGAGCTATGCGCTACTTTAGTCTCAGCGTCAATGTCTTTTTAAGTGTGAATTTTGCTGGTATCTTGGAATCTTCAGTTTCTTGTTTTATTTTTTTTTTTGTTAATGTTGTAATCTACGAAAGTTTTGTTATTGCTGTTTTTGTTGTTGTTTTTTGTGTTTGGTTTTCGTAAGTGTCTTTTGGAATTTTTTTTTGCCTATATATGTGTGTGTGAGTGTGTGAGTGTGTGTGTGTATCGCATGTGTTTTTTTTGTAGCTAGTGGCGTTCTTTTGCGTAAACAACACACACACAACAGCACACACAACAGCACACACACACACACACCAACCGAAATTCGCCATTGAACGGTAAAAAATAAATTCCAACGTGTTTGACTTTGTAACTCTCAATGTGTGTGTGTGTGTGTGTGTTGGTGTGTGTATGGTCTTTTTCAATTACATGTTTGTAAATGGAATTTCTGAACTTTTTGTGAACGAGGTCATTTA